CCATTTAAGAATATTATATGACTCTCATCATGATTATTTATGTTATTAATTGATCAATTACATATTTACGTTATTATATTATTTATTTTTACTCGATGGACATAATTGTTCTTATCATATAAATTACGATTTTTCCTTTGGGTCATTAGACAACTGAAGTGGTATATATGGTATCTCAACATTGTTACCACCGACTCTGAACCTAAAAAGAAATTTCTGTCTCCTCTACTCTCTCTCTCAATGCGTAATATGATCATATATAGGGATCACCTAATCCCATCATAAATAATACGCCATAAACAGAAACCCGATAAAGATCATATCGTCTTTCTCATCCATTCAATCACGGGTTTACTAGGTATTTTTCTAATCATTATTCTTATTTCATTTTATAATTGAAGAATCATAATTTAACACATCACAGTTGCATCCACATATGATAATCAGAGATTATTTTATGCTCCCTCCGTCCCAAAGAGATGGGTACATTTTGACTAAAGTGGTAAAATAAGGAGGGATATTTTGGTGTTGACTTTCCAAAAATACCCTTGATGTGATGGGTAAAGTAGGATGTGAATATGTGATGATTAGATTATTAGGAAAAAGGTATGATACTCCATATGCCTCATAGCTAGCAAAGCGAATGTTATTGAGTACAATAATAATTTCTTGTATAAATATAATGAGGCCCGCCCGCCCAAGTTGCATGCATGGTGTTGTACGCACGGACGTGTTCAGCTCCAGTAATAGAGAAATATCAGTTTTTTCATTTAATAGGTGTTCGGATAATGACAATTAATGCAATAAATTCGTGGATCCCTCACTAGTACTCCCTCCTTCCATAAAGATAATAAGGATATTTTGACTAAAGTGCGAAATTAAGAAAGGGATAATTATGTATTCACTTTCCAAAAATACTCTTGATGTGATGGGTAAAAGTATGATGTGATGTTTAGATTATTAGAAAAAAGATATGATGCGATAGGTAGTGTTTGAAAAAGTAAGGGGTAAAAGTAATTTTTAATAGATATGGGAAAGAGACTATGGGACGCAATTTTCGCGCTCTTTAAAAAATAATCCCACTTTTTACTGTCACTAGAATTATTCCAACATTTTTACATGTGTACGAGTTTTGGGTCACCGTTAAAAAACTAACTATCATTTAACAGAATTTTTGAAAAATGCATGTTTTTCTATAATAAATGAAAGGTGGGATTATTTTACAAAAATTCTCTTTTTTTCGTTTTTTTAATTTCTAACTTTAAATTTAAATGTATTTTTAATTTCTTTTTTTTGGAAAAATAATACCAAACTTAAGTTTTTAGAGTGAAACTAATTGCTTTTTTAAAAGTCGATAATCTGGTAATAATATTAAAAAATAAATTATTCTACACAATAGAGCTAATTTATTTACTTCATAACTCACTACATTTTTTTGTAAGTTGCAATTATTTTTTTGAGCGGCCCTTCGAATTGTTTTTTGATACTACTTCGTATATTATTATTGTTACTTAAAAATGGCACTAGAAAACTTGTGAATATTTGTGAAAATTCTATATAAATATTTTTTACAAAACAACATTACAATAATTGTGAAAATAACACAATAATGAAACATTTATTTTTATAACTCACTACATTCTCTGTTGTATTGTAATTTTTTCATTAACAACACTCTGGAATATTTATTGATAATCTTCTATTGCCTATATCATTTTTCGTAAAACGGAACTACCTAATTTTTTATTTTTTGATAATCCCAAAATAGTAATTCAAATGTTGTGAAAATAACACAATATTTTTTCTCTGAAATGGCACTAATAAATTTTATAACACACTACAAAATTTATGCAATGAAATTTCTTTCTTGATCGATACTCTAAATTGTTTTGATAATTCAATATTATATTTTTCCAAAACAAAAAACAAAATTTATAAATCGTTAGACAAATCTCTAACAAGAGTGTACTGTTATATTTTTAAAAATATTAATTTGAAATTAAAAATTAAAAAATAAAAAGTAAATTTGCCTAAAATACTCCCACCTTTCATTTATTTGCAAAAAATTAGCATTTTCTAAAAATTCCGTTAAGTGGCTATAAGTTTTTTAATGGTGACCCAAAACTCGCAGACATGCAAAAATGTATGATTATTTCCAGGGAAACTGAAAAAGTGAGATTATTTTTGAAAGAACGCGAAAAGGTGGGATTATTTGAGATAATTTTTCCAATTTCATATATATATATATATATATATATATATATCGATATATATATATATATATATATATATATATATATATATATATATATATATATTGTTAGCCTTAGTTTGCTAAGTCTCATGTTTTGATGTTAACAAACAATATAAGAGCTTAACGTTTGTTTAAGTGTTTCAAGAAAAACAAGAATCCATTAAGATTCGGTACTCAAGAATGAAGTCGAAACACTAAACTAGCGTAGAATATAGGTAGAAACCAATGTAAGGATATGACTTTATATACCTATATTCACAAGCTCAAAAGCACTTACAAAATATGTTTAAAACCATCCCATAAACATTTTGAAACATCTAAAAGGTTTTAAACTCAAACACGAAGGATTAAGGATATTTTGAAAAACGCAGGACTGTAGCACGGGACCCCCCTACCGTCTGCACGGGACCCCCCTACCGTCTGAACGGGACCCCCCTACCGTATGGACGGGACCCCCCTACCGTATAGAAGGGACCCCCCTACCGTGACCGTTAGGTTACTGTTCCTGATTTGTGTTTTTGAATTAAATCAACCCTAATCACCTCCCAATGGCTAATTAACATCTTCCACTATAAATACAAGCCTAATCCTTCATATTTCTTTAAGAAAAAAAGCTCTAAACATTCTCCCTTTATATTCTAAGTGTGTTCATTCTTTTATTAATTATTTTCAATATTTTGGCTATTTCAAGAGCCTTAAATTCCTGATTTTTATACACACACTTTGAGCTTGTGTTTCTAGTTATATACTCTCATATTCATAAGTTTGAATTGTATTTTTGAGAGAGTATACTTTCTTTCTACACCGGCTAAGTTTTGTTCTTCATTTTTATATTCTAGCCGTTGTGTAGAATCATCTTTTGTGTTTTTCAAACACTTCTTTATACGGTCGAGAATAGCCGTTAAATTCTCATATTGTATCGGTCGAGGATAGCCGTATAAATCCTTGGGTAAAGGTTCAAGGATAGCCTTTGAAATCCTTGGGGGAACGGTAGAAGATAGCCGTTAAATCTTCGTTGTAAACAGTTTGAGATAGCCGTGGTGAAATCTCGGAGTGAATCCTATTGGCAAGGGTTGTTTGCCAAACTAGTGCGGTGCTTTGACGGAGTTCAAGAGACTGGGACTTAGTGGATTCGGAAATCCTTGAGGAGGAGCCTCGAGGTACTGGAGTAGGGAGTTCCCGAACCAGTATAAAATCGGTGTGCATTTTATTTACGCTTTTATTTTTGCGTTTTATATATTGCTTCCGCATTTGCCAACATTGTTTTTATTAAACTCCGAAAAGATTTTAAATATATATATATATATATATATATATATATATATATATATATCGATCGTACGTAGGAGTGTTCATTTATAGGTCTGAACCGATGAACACCTCTAATCGTACATGGATCTCTCTATTGATCTTGATAGATATCCGCACCGCTGAACAGGCATTGGGCGGCCCAAATATAATTCCGAAGCCCAACATGAATAAAGCCTAGAACTGGAGCCCGAAGGGAGATCGAAGCCTAATGATCAGATGAAGTAACAGATTGAAGGTTAGCATACAACGATGGATTAGGCCTGGTACGAAGGGAAGACTTGATTCCTCAGATCGTGAGATTGCAGGGGAATTGATGACTGATTCTCCGCTACGATTAATGCATGATAGACGAATTACCGATAATGTAGCACACGGAATTGCATGCCTTGTATACAGTAGATTTACACTATAAAAGAAGAGAAAATACTCCATTGTAATCAAAGCTAAATTGACCTAATACAAACCTACAAGAGTTCTACATATTCTATCAATATTATTTTACAAAGTTCTTCGCACGCTATATTTATTGAACTAAATCTCATTAGTTCTTTCAAACTAAAAAAAATTGAAGAAAGTTACACTCACACCAATTTTTATTGTTGGAGTTTATATTGATCAAATCATGATAAGAATATAAGTTTTTTTGTGTCATTTACCTTCAACTCGAACGCTCTTAAAATATTGTGAATTACTCTTGAACTTTATTACATAAATTACCCCCAAGCTTTTCAAAACATTGCGTGAATAGTCCCTTGCTTCTTTGTCAAATATGAGAGTGCATTACATTAATCACATTCGTCCAGTGAGTTCTTCAATTCGTCATTTTCATACATCAGCTTCTATATTTTAAGTTTCTTAAAACCTTATACAATTATTCTTATTTTAATCGTTGGTAACCAAAATCAAAATCCAGACATCAGTCGATCAAACTTTTCATCAATTAAAAAATTATCTTCATCATTACGTGACGTGATCATCAAATGCCAACATGTATTTTGATGAGCATGTGATTAACACGCTCTCTACTGGACATGCTGATGGACATGGATGCAATGTTTTAAAAAGTGGAGGGGTAATCCGCATACTTTTAAAAGTTTAAGGGCAATCCATGCATTTTTTGAAGAATTCAAAGGTAATACGCAAAAAAACTCACAAGAATATATATATATATATATACATATGGAGTATAAAACAACTAACTCAGTAATGCTCCGTTTGTAAAATTGATGGTTCATACTCATCCTAACCCTTTGGCCTAGAAATCAGGAATCTATATGAAGTGGAAGAAGCATATATACTCAATTAAGCCATGTGTGGAAATTCAAATACACTACCACCCTTTGGGCTCAACTCATGAGAGGTAGGTATCACAGAAGAAATAACCCCTTTAAGGAAAGGCTACTCTTCGATTCACCCAACTAGAAAAGAATTCGTAGAATGACTTCTATAGTACCAAAGACAAGGCTGATAATTCAAACACAAGACTGATAATTTCTCTCAAGTCATAATACTCCAATAGAAAAATAGGATCACAAAAGGAAGATGGTACAAGAGTAATGAAGTATCAAGTCTTTATCAAGGCTTCATTAGTGCAGAATCAGTGAATAAAAAGCATATCTCATATACAACACTCATACAACACAGAAACAACATAGTGAAAATCAAAGTATTAATCACCACTTGCGCAGCCTTTGCAGCCGCAATGGACGCATTCTATGACCTCTTCTTCCCTGAGATGTTTAGGGACTCGGCACACACAAGTCGTCATAAAGTTGTGATCCCGGGGCTGAATGCACCTCAAACAACATAGCCGTTCGTACCCAGGCTGCGAAAACAAGGGGAAAATAACGATGGAATGCAAAATGAGAAACCATAAGACTGTGTTTGGAACATGGAAAGTGGGTAGGGAAATGATGCTTCTAAAGGAAAACAGTGGCTTCTAAAAAATGTTTCGTACAGAGGAAAATCAATGTTGATTCAAAATTTGTGAATGTTTTACATATAGTTGAATTTCATAGCCCATATTTGATAGAAAAAATATAAATACAATGAATTTGAACAAACATTTAAAACTGATTTGTTGAGTTTGAACCAAGTGTTTATTCCCCCTCAATTGCTTGAAAATTTATCCTCCATTTTCATCCTATTTATTATCATATTCAGGTTCCAAGAGACATTAGATGTTGCTGAAAATACACGACAGAAGCAAACAAAAAAACAGCCATAAATACTCTTTATTTAAGGCGAGACAAACCTTTTTCCACTTGGCAATTAAATTACGGTCTGCATGACGCTGATCCAAGCAAAACTCGTAGAGTTCCTTGGAGATTTCTTTCCTCCTGTAATAAAGGTCGTAAATGTAGCGGCTCTGCTGATGAGAAATTTTAAAGATGGGCCACAGTCCCTCACACTTCCTTTTGCCATCATGCGGATCAATCTCAGCTGTTCACAAGATTATACCCATATTACCCATCAAGATTTTTTTGGAGCTAAATGACTATTCGGAACTTGGAGAATGAAAGTGGAAAATAGGGGAAAGAATGCAATGGAGATTTGGAAGTAAAGATAGTACGAGGGAAAATTTAAAAAAAACGCTTCAAACTCAAAAAATTTGCATTTTGATAATTTTCAAACTCCTTTATTGGATTGTTTATTTCAATTATAGTATAAACACTTAGAAATCTATACATATGTAAAAAAAATATTAAACACATGAATCATATTTCATTATTCTTTGCATTTTCTAAGGTAAAACCAAACACAAGAAAGTGACTTCTCCTGGCTATTCTTTTTCCTCCTTTTCCAAGAATTTTGTGTGACCCACACACACCCAAAACAAAATCAAATTCAACAAAATATCAAAGAGATAAGAGAACCAATGTAGCGCAACCTATAATTTACGGGGAAGAGATAATACAAACCTTCTCTCATCTTAGCTTGTAGTTCGAGGATAGTAGGCTCAATCAGTTCCCATCCTTCTGGGTACTTGACACGATTTGTCTTCACCTTAGGCATGCTTTAGCTGCAAGATTCAAAAACAAAATGATTCTTTTAAGTATGTATTACTATAAAGAACATCCGCGATAACTTTTTTTAACAATGGATCCCTTCCTGATAATGACCTTAAATTACAACACTACACGTGCACCCTCTGTTATTACCAATTATTTTTCAAGCCAACATGACAACTTAAAACAAAACCCTCATCAATGACATTCAAAAGAAAGTTGGAGATGACACATTTAGCATCATGTGATAACCAGAACAAAATAGAGCCTCACAGAATGCTTGTAGCAACAATTGTTGTAAGATTTAGCATTCCGGTGGAAAAAAGTTAAAAAGCAAGGCAGGTCTTGAGAAATCAATGGCCTGGATGAAAAAAATGGCAAAAGCCTTATCCCAAATGACTTAATAAATTAAAGTATGTAAGCTAATTATATTTAAATTTGAAATAGTGTATTAATGTAACATCAAATCTAATATATATATATATATATATATATATATATATATATATGTATGTATGTATGTATGTATGTATGTATATACACACACACACACACATATACACACACATAGACACACACACATATTTTATATAAATTATAATTCATCGACCAAGGAGCAAACCCTATAAAAATACAAAAATTATGTCGGCCAAATCTCTTGATATCCATACAGCACTCACCCATCGGATGAATAGGGCCGGTCCTGAGGATTCATCGGCCGGGGCCGAAACGGAAAAAAAATCCCTAAAAGTTTTATCTTTAATGGTCTAACAAATTAACATATGTAAACTAATTATATTTAAATTATAATTAACGCAATATTATTAGAAGAAAAAAATAAATGACAAAATTATAGTATTATAATTACATACCGTAAAAGCTAGCCGAGGATTCGAATGAAATATATATTATTTCTAAAGATATTTTTGCGCTTCATCCATGTATGTACATGATTTAATGACTAGTATAACACATTTGGGTATCACTAAGAAACCCTCTGTGACGAAACATTGCAACTACGCGAGTGAAAGCGTCTGAACTCATTGAAATTGCAGAACATTTTATACGCAATCTTAATTCATTTAGTAAACCTTGATCATTATCATCATGAATGGATCATTGGCCTTCCAATATTCATATCAAATCGTCAATTTTTCAGTTTTTAATTTTTTTTTTTAATTTTCAGTTTTTTATATACAAATATATAATAAATTTAAATCAATTCATCCAAATCAAATAAATAACATATAGAACCATTAATTCACTCTATTTCATAGAAATTAACAAGAATTTCAAATTAAAAATTAATAATTAACCCTAGATTTTGAATCTAAAGAATAAAACAATGAAAAAAAATTAAGAAATAATTATGGAAATACGGAATACCTGGAGGCTGGAGCTTGAGGGTCGGCGTCCGGCGGTGCGTCTGGCGGCGGCGGCGTATCTGAGTTCCGTCAGCTCCGTACTTCCGTCGTCCCTGCCTTCCGGTTCTTTCGTGCGTCTCTCACTCTCTCCCGTAACTAAGGGTATAAGAGAAGGAGATGGATGGGGTCTGGGCTTCTTATACATACACATATACGGAGTATATAATATTTTAAAAAAATTGGGCCCCTTAATTTTTTGGACCCGGTCCGGACGGACTGTTGGGACGCACCGTCGAGGAAGACGGGTGAAGCAGCGGAAATGCGGAATTGATTTTTGGGTTTGGAAAGGAATTTTATATCACACGGGCTTGGGCCAAAAATAAAATTTAGGCCGGCGTAATTTTGAGCTATTGCCTCATTTGCCTGTTAAAATTTGGGCCGGAATAATTTGCTCCATCCCTAAATTTTTGTCTAGATTTGATTTTTTTTGGTCAACTATCTTCAATCTTTGACCTATAGTTAAATAAAATATAAATTTTATATTTATTAGATAAATTAATATTTTGAAAATATTTGATATAATAAATCTAATAAAACAATTTTTGCATCAATATCTAATACCATTTTTTTAATTCAAAGTCAAAATTTACTAATTTTGACGGAAAAAATCAAATGTGGACAAATATACTCAATGATAGAGTGAATATATTATTGTTTAGTATTTACTGGCCCGAAAAAACATGAATCAATTACATGAACATACTTTAGTTCTTTCGTCTCAAATCAAATTGCAGGTGAACTATTCTCATGGTCAAACTTTATTCACTATCTTTGTTATTTGTGTAAGTAATTTGATCCAATAATATAGTCATGTCACGATTACTTTTGTAGATTTTTTTTATGTAGACTTAAAATATGTAATTTTTATTTTTTAATTTTAGATCTTTTTCAATATAAAATGATTTGAAAAGAATTTCAATCAAATTAGGGAATCTTTGCAGCTACATTCTAAACAATTACTCCCTCCGTCCCAATTTAAATCGCCTGTTTTGACTCTTGGGCATATTTAAGAAAAATAAAAAATAGAGTTGATTTTTCGAAATTGACTTTACTTTTTAGGAGGGGTGATGATGAATGAGAAGATAATGTGAAGAAGTGTGACTTATTTTAGGGGTAGTTTAGGTATTTTATTTTTAAAAGTTTACGAAAACAACTAACAGGCAACTTATTTTGGGACGGAGAAAAAAGGCAAACAGGCAATTTAAAATGGGACAGAGGGAGTATCAAACATTGGGATTTGATATATATGTAATTGAGATGAAAATTCTAGATAAAAAGGTTTAACCAATTGAAAACGTATGACAAAATTAGTATTTTGACTTGTGCCATGCATGGATTTGAACGAAATTTTTGTCGATTCAAAAAATATTTTTCAATTAATATTTTTTTCAGATTAAAGAAAATATATTTGTAACACGCTTTTTTTAATACTACGTAATATATTCATTAGCAACAAAGTAGAATAAATAATATATCAATTTGCATTTTGTAATGAAACTTCTTATACACGAAATTGAAAGAGTACACGAAAAAATGATTCTAATGATTTATGTCACCTACAATTCATTGGAATTTTGGCAAGTTTGTCCCCAATGATCATTATATTTTCACATGACAAAACATAAACATTAACTCTTCATATATCAAAAGTTCCTTAAAATTATTAAAACACAGACAATATACACTTTTTTAGACTAAACAAAACTCCTACCTATAGGATGATACAAATGAAGATGCGACTTATGATAAGCTTAACATTTACACTATGTTTGGTTCAAGAATTCCGAAGAAATGAAAAGAATCAATTTTTAAGGATTAAACAAAATTAATCTCTTATGAATAAATAGTTTCCTAAGCTTGAACTTATTACCCCAAGTTGCTTCATCATTATGAACAAGATTAAACTAAACTAATTTATAAGGAACAATCTGCAAAACTAATCATTAAACATAACTAAGACGATTTTGAATAAACAAAAATATTTACTCTTTTATAGCCAAATAATGTTTTGCTTTCACTCGTACATAGATACTCGCATGAGCAAATAATTTTGCTATGGGAACTATAACACCGTATTAACTCAAAAAGTAACAAAAAGTTCAAACAACAAATATATACACCAAGAACAATCTAAAAACAATAACAAAACTGCGGAAATACATATCTGGGAAGCATTTATACTGTAAAATCCAACGATTTTACACATTTTTATCGGAAAGTGGTGAGTTCTTTGTCAATTAATTAAACAATTCAATGAAATAAAAATAATCTTTGTTAAAAAAATTTACTACTCCATAAAAATGACAAAAAAAATAAAACAAAATCCCGCTGGAATAGCAAAAGCTCTCAAACTAACCCACAATCCAAAACACACCTTCATCAACTGCAAGCTTTCAAAAAAAAAAAAAAAAAAAAAGAAACTTCACAAGAACAAAGAGGAATCAAATTCAAGATCAGAGAAGCTTTCATCTCAAATCAATGAAACCCCCTACTAATATCTTCATTATCCTACCCATTCGAGTCATGGAGAACATGATGATGAAGATTCAAGAACATGAAATTCGCAGAAACGAGATGTTCATCCCAAGATTTGAAGAAAAAGCTGCCTAAGAGTGCATGATGAATTCCTTTCCTTCGAAGAAGAAACTAAGAGATTCATAAAGATCCGTGTATTTTTGGAGAAAGATTCAGTGATGAATGCGCTGGAGATATAGGCCTGGATGCGCGAAGAAGAAGGATCTTTGCGTTTCCGAGAAAGTCTTGGTCACTCTTGGACCACGGCATTTTGTGTTTTTGGAAAAGTCTTCCGCAGTACACATTCCTAAAACGAACGATAATTAAATGGTTTCAATCTTCCCCATACAAACCGCGAAAAAACCCGAAGTGTTCTCTTTTCTCACAGTCTCACCATATACATACATCGTACACAAACATTTAAGACTGAAATGGGCAAAATGGGGAGGAAAAAAATGTACAAATCTTCAAGGTGGAAACACTAAGAGTACATTATTGCTAGAACAAGTCAAACTCTATATGCTCATCACCTTCAGCAAGGAACTTCCTTTGAGGGGGGGTTTCAACAAGGTCACACAGTTCAGGCACCAATGGCGGGGCGGCACATCGGATCAAGGCCCAGTTCAGCCCGTCAAAGAACGGGTGCCGTTTAATCTCGGCCGCTCCGGTTTCCGAGCCCAACCGCTGCTCCGGTTCCTTCACCAAAAGCCCTCTCATCAAATCCCGGGCCTGAAAACTCACCATGGGCCCGTCGGGGAACCTCAGGCTTTGCAGCACCACGTTCGCCAGAGTCTCGTCGTTCTCGGCGCCCTTGAATGGGGTCCGCCCGTACAGGAGCTCGTACAGGAATACCCCTAGGGTCCACCAGTCCACGCCGCTCCCGTGCCCCTCGCCCTTGATTATCTCGGGGGCCAGGTACTCGTGGGTCCCGACGAACGAGTTCGACCGGGCCTCTGTCGGCTCCACCACGACCTGCGGCATTGACCTCCTCCGGATCAGCGCCGCGAGTTTTCTGGCTCTCGCGGCGGGGGTTAGGATTCTAGGGGTAAAACAGGAAACTTGGCACGACGGTCCGGCACAAAAGGGGTCGATGCAGTTGGATCCCGTGCACGGACCGGAGACCCTGGCGGGGTCCATTCCCAAAGACGACGAGGATTTTAGGAGCGTAGGGTTGACCGAACAGCGGAGGGAAAGGTCAAAATCTGTGAGCATTATGTGACCGTCTTCGCGCACCATGACGTTTTCCGGTTTTAGGTCACGGTACACCACGCCGAGCATGTGCAGATACTCTAGAGCAAGGAGGACTTCAGCTACATAAAACCTGAAATAAGTGCCACATTGTGGTTTTTCAAAGATATGTGAGCTACACAAAGTATACACACTACTACAAAATTGACCATTCATAAACACTTGCATTTTGACATTATGTTAAAATTTGTCAAAAGATTTGTATGAATGGGTTTTGGATCGAAATCTCAGAATTCAACATACCGTGCAGCAGATTCGGGGAAAAATCTGTTTGGCTGTTGTTGGCGGATGACGTGCAGATCCCCACCGGGGCAAAACTCCATAACCAAACACGACAAATTATCGGAAGTGAACTGGGCATACAATGTGGGGAGGAAAGGATGATCGAGCATCCGTAAAATCTCTCTTTCCGTTTGTGCCCTCGGCGCCTTCTTCCTCAAAGCCAAAAACTCATTATCCATAACCTTTATGGCAAACAAGCAACTCGTTCCCACTAGCTCGGCAAGATACACGGTGCCAATATCCCCACAGCCCAACTTCCTCAGCAGATTGAAGTGAATCAAGCCCAAGAACCCGTTTTGTTTCTTGACTCGGTTTATGGCATCCCATCGCGAGTCCTTGGACATGTGGGGCCTGATTCCGGAACAGGGCCCACTTAGGTTGCTCTCTTCGCTGAAAGTTGTGCTGCTACTGTAGTCGCCCATGCTACTCTTTGAGCTCTGGGAGAAGTCCCCTTTGTATTTTGAACTCTTATTGGGCACAACGGGGGTTGCAGGTTGAATTTCAGCACCATCATCCTTTGTGTCCTTCAATGCGCATTGACATCTCTGACAGATAGTAACTTTGTCATTGCCAGAAGCCGTTACGCCTTTCTTTTCATCCGAGGGATTCACTTGCAAAGATTCCACTTTTGGCTTCTTCTTACTTGCGAGATTCTTGTTCCGGATAGCCGGTTTTACGGCACGGGATGCGTTTCTTGATTGCTTGAAATCCTTGTTGTTGGACAACGGAGTGGTTTGCAGTCTCCCCTTGCGTCTTAATCTGGGTGCGGCTTTGATCGGGGTCCCGCCACTTCGAGAAGGGTTTCTTGTCAACTTTCTTGGTCCGGTGGTACCCTTCTCTTGTGTTTTCTCATCATTCCCTGCTGTCTTTAAGGATTGAACGTCTCCATCGGAATCTTTGATTTTCACAACCACTTGAGGAGAAGAAAGGTTTCTCTTTGGCGATTTCATGGAAGAACTTGAAGAAGTAGTTTCTTGAAATAGAGTTAACTCAAGACTGTTAATGGCTGGGTTAATGAAATGTCTTGGGGAAGAATGCTCGCTTCGGCTTAGGGAATACGGTGGAACTAGTACCCTAGAAGAAAAGCTTGAGGATCCCAGTTCAGGGCCAGGAGACCCACCAGGTGTCTTTGAGAGTCTTCTCATGGAGGCCATTTCTGCTGCCTGCGAAATACATAGCCCCCGAAACGCCTGTTTTAAAGAGACCGGTTCATGATTTGCGGTGAGCCCACCACCACCACCACCACCACCTGGCCTCATTGGTCTCTTAGAGGCATCCCGTCTGGCTCGGTCCGACAGATCCAAACTCTTTGACGTTCTAAGGTCAATTGCGTCAAAGAGTCTGTTGATGTCATCTTCCGCCAGAAACTTATTGGTGGGTCCCCTTTTCTGCACCGGAGGCTTCCCATGGTGGGACTTTTCAGGCTTCAGCTCCTCAATTTCAGAATTGCGTGGAAATGAACCCATAGCTCAGATGCAAACACAGCACACAGACCAAACAGGATTTAGCACCATGTGAATAGAAGTTCGGCGAACGTTTTATAGAACTAATTGGTCATATCGACCTGCAAAAACAATCAGGATTTTTATTTCACATTTATTGTACACAATATGCTTTCTTATTTTATAATATTACATACAGATGAACATACACATGCCCAAAACAGCTAAATAAGTTAACACCGTAAAAACATCAAAACAACATAATGCATTCGAGAAATGTGACTTTGGTTGCAATTTCCTCTTGCAAATAAAGTTTCAATTCTCCTCATCAAAGGACAATACTTATGGTCTGTTTGAGATGGAGAAAATGACTTCAGGAAGTCATTTCCCCATTTTCCAGTGTTCAGCTATTCTGGAAAGAAAGGAGTCAACGAAAAACGATTCACAAAGTCGACTGAAAATGAGCCTTGTTTGGACGAAAAATGATTTCCGTTTACATTTTCCCCCCCCCCCCCCCCCACTTAAATCAAAACTCACCACATGTTATTGTGATATATCAATAAAACTAGTTTTATTTTTTCATTTTTCAAACTTTCAACCAAACACCAGAGAAAGAATCTGCCATTTTCCATATTTCCATACCAATCCTTAATTGAAATGAAGATTCACAGGATAAGAACCAACTATTGACCAAACCAAGATCTATAGATATACAGTACATTCTTCTCAATTCTAAATCTGGAAATCAGTTTCCTTATTTCATGTGCTGATGGGGGAATGTATCTACAAAGATGAGTTTTTGATACTGCCTATGAATGTGGACGCAATCCAAGCAATTGGCTTTAAAAGAGAAGGTCATGAGTCCCTTAATAACAGAACATAACAGCAAAGATTGAAACTTTCAATCACAAAGAAGAAACCCAAAGAAAAAAGAAACCCATTAAATGAATCTAAGACCCATTATGAATCAGGTTCAAGAAAAAAGAACAAAATTCAAAGGAGACAGAGCAGAATCATTCAATTAAAGAAAGAAAATAGAGCAGAATCATTCAATTAAAGAAAGAAAATAAAGCAGAACCATTCAATTAAAGAAAAGATTTTTAAGAAGACAAACCACAGATTCATGAAAGGTAAACAACAATAGACCAGATCCATGATGCAATTAGCTAACAAAGAGAAGTTCAAAAAACTTACCTCAGAAGAGTACACAGTAAAACTTATAGAGAGATCTATAATGCACTTCAGATTCAGACAATAATTTCAAGAATTAAAGACTGTGTGAAGTTTGAAAGGCCAATTGGGAGAGTGAGAGAGTTGGGCTTTTCCCCTTTTTTTCAGAAAAAAATTGAAAAAATTTAGTTTTTCTGATTCTCAGGGAGAAGAAATCGAGGGTACTATACGGTGGACAGAACAGGGAGAGAGAGAGAGAGGGACTGGGTGAGCATTCACAGCTTTGAGCTTTCTCTCTCTTCTGTGTATTTTGTTTGTTGTATTCTGAGATGTTTGGGACCCATTCCACTGGGAAGCACCGGGGCCTACATACACCTTTGGGAGGATTTGAATCTTTGCATTATTTTAAAATTTTAAAAATTAAAGATGCTAAAATCTCAATAGAATTGAAATTTTTAAAAATTAAAGATGCTAACATCTCAATAGAACTGAAACTATGAATTTGTGAGCGGATTGGTGATAATCAAATTGTTAGTCTATGCACGTGATCAAAGGATTATCATCATCTATGGTTTCAACTGTAGTAGATGTATAGTATGACTCTTTTAAAATAACGATTATACTATCTCTATATCGGTGTGTACGTACAACTTGATGCTTTATAATTAACTCTGACAAATTCTAATAATCTATTAAATACATATTTAATGTATATTTAAAAAAACAAAATAATTTGTAGAGACTATTTTATAAGATAGAGCTGGTTAAATCAATTTTTTTACTGTTGTATAACGTATTCTTTTTAATACTCCGTAAATGATAAAATTTCATCTAATTTGACGGTAAAAATGAAATTGAATAAACATACTAGAACAGGGAGATGAAATGAGTGGATGGGAGGGGGCGGTGAATAAGAAGATAAGGTATTTTTATCAACAAAAACTAACTGTAATAGGAAACAGACAATTTATTTTGGAATGTATAGAAAATGAAAACATGTAATTTAAATTAGAACGAGTACACAATACTCCGGTATAATAAAGGTCGATTTGTCACACATACTCCTCTGTCACTAAAAGTTTGTCAGAGTTTGCTTTTTTTGGTCAAATTGTAGCACAATTTGATCACGAATTAAATAAAGTTTAAAATAATTAAATATTATAAAAATTTAAACCTAATTATACTAAATTCACCTTATAACTGTTTTTTCATAATTTGTGGTCAAATGATGTCACAGTTTAACTAAAAAAGTCAAACAAATTACAACTCTTTTAAATATGGACCATGGACAAGTGATGGATAGCTATACCACTTAGCTATGCGTGGTAAATTAATTACGGTAAAAAATATTCTTATAATTTTTATATATTCGTGGATGTTAGAGTATATAAATATCTATTCCTGGGCCACAACCACAAGCTTGAGCTTTTGGTTGAGTTGGTTCCTTGACATGGTATCAGAGCCTTGATGACCAAGAGGTCACGAGTTCGAAACTCACCGCCACCCAGTTTAAAAAAAATTAAGGTTTCACGTGCAAGACTTAAAGAGGTCACGCGTGCACGTGAGGGGGCGTGTTAGAGTATATAAATATCTATTCCTGGGCCACAACCACAAGCTCCGAGCTTGTGGTTGAGTTGGTTCCTTGACAAACTTATATTTTTTATATCCACTTTACAAACTTGATCATGAAATATTTATTTAAAATGTACTCATATTTACACTCGACATTTTTAGTTATTATCGTATTCCTTCGTGTAAATAATTAATTATATTCATTTGAGGAAATTAAAGTGAATTTGGTTCACACAATTTCTATATTTAGGCACAAAACGTAATCATAATAATTGTGATTAGTCAATTATAAAGATTTTATTTAGAAAAGGAATTATTGTAATTAAAATTTGGATTATATGAAGCATGATATATGCATGTTGTGTCATATGTATGCATGAGGCGTGTTGGTGGTTAGGCAGCCCAACATCTCCCCATCTCATCAAAAACAAAATCAAATTCAATAAATTGCTGTGTTAGATCGACCCACCTAATAAAAAAATTGCTTTGATAAAAAATTGCTTGTTATTACTCCTTTGGTTCCTCTTGAATTTTTCAATTTGAAATAGTCGGTCAATGTTTTATTAATTTTGATGATAAATTATAAAAAAAAATATGGAATTGTGATATACATTTTAATATAGTCATTTCACTTCCTGTTTTGTAAAACTTTTGATGTTATATTAAAATATATATTTTTTATTTTTAAATTTCAACACATATACTCAAATAAATTGAATTAGAAATAATTTTAATAAAACCTTGTAAATCGGACGGGGAAGATTATTTTAGAAGGAGGAAGTAATTTTGTTTTGACACAAAAGCCATAACACTCAAGGAGGAAGTAATTTTGTTTTGAATATTCACTGTTTAAAAATTACAAAATTTTTTGATAAATTATTTGGTAAAATAAAATTTTTTTGATATTTTTTATTTATAAAATTTTTTACATAATTTTTAAAAATATGTAAATTTTATTTTGAATTTTTGTATCAATCTTTAAATAAAATGAATTAAAAAATTTAAAAACGTAAAATATTAATTATCTGATGATTATCCGCGCCGTACGAATAATTAAGCTTAGTTAGAAGCTGTCATGTTCGATTTATTTTTAATTAGATAACAAACATTCTGTCAAACCACTCAACCCGGACAACGATTTGAGTTTGGGGTTTCTTAATTAACCCACCCCCCTTACTCACACAAGCAATCTCTCTAGGAAAATGAAAATTGACTTCTGAAAAATGAATTTTCAAAAAATGATTTTGGATTTTTTTTTGTTTCGTGGAAAAATTAAAACGAAAAAACTAATTTTTGTAGTTATGATATACTCCCCCCATTTTTTTAATTGTCTCATTCTTTTGCGTGTAAATTTTGACTAATTATATACTCTCTCTGTCTAGAAAAGATTTTTACAGTTTAATATTTTTGGTCAAATTGTTGTACCATTAGACTATGAATTAAATATAATTTAACATAATTAAATATTATAAAATTTTATTATTTCAAAATTATCCTTCTTCTGTTTCTTAAAACCCTTCCTTTTTCATTTTTTTGTTTTCCTTAAAACACTTCCTTTTCTATTAAAAAACCACTTTACCCCTACTTTTTCATACCTTACCTATTACATCATACGGTTTCACCCATAACTAAACTATCACATCTTACTTTTACCCATCACATCGGGGGCAAAATTGGAAAGTCAACTAAAATTACACTTTTCTTATTTTCCCCCAAAGTCAAAACAAGAACCGTTTTAAGAAACGGATGGAATATTTTAGAATAAACCCAATTTCATTAAAGTTACATTATATCTAAATATGTTTTTTCATAATTTACTGTCAAAGTGTGCAACAGTTTGACCAAAAAACTCAAACGGTGACAATCTTATATATATATATATATATATATATATATATATATATATATATATATATATATATATATATATATATATATATATATATAGGTTCTTGTGAGAATGCAATCTTAGGAGAGAAATGAGAATGAATCTGGTGCTTTAGATAGTGAGATCTAAGGGTCAAGATTTCATCAAAATTAGATGCACCAAAATGGTGTGTGTATATATATATATGTATATATATATATATATATATATATAAACCTCCTCCGTTCTAATAAAAGCTTCCTAGTTAGACTTGGAGCCAAAATAAGAAAGTGTTAAATTATACTACCTCCGTCCCAAAAAGATTTACACGTTTTGACTAAAGTTGAAATTAAGGGAGGGATAATTTTGTGTTGACTTTCCAAAAATACCCTTGATGTGATGGATAAAAGTAGGATGTGATGTCTAGATTATTAAGAAAAAGGTATGATGTGATAGGTAGGGTTTGAAAAAGTAAGGGGTAAAAGTGGTTTTTTAATAGAAATGGGTAGGAGATTGTGGGACGCAATTTTTTTGAAAGGTGTAATTTTTTTTGGGACGGAGGGAGTAGTAGACTTCCAATTTTGCCCTGATATAATGGGTTAAATTATTAGAGAAAAAGTATGATGTGATAGGTAGGATATGAAAAAGTAATGGTAAAAGTGATTTTTTAATAGAAAGTGAAAGTGTTTTGTTGGAAATGGAAAAAATGAAAAAGAAAGTATTTTTGATAACGGAGTATATCAATCAAAAAGAATGAAGGGAGAAATAGCTGGAGAAAAGTAGAAAATATCTTCTACATATAAATGAAAATGAGTTTTTTCACTCTCCAAATAAAGGAGAAATTTTAATTGAAAGTGAAATAATTTTTCGATTGGATGAAAAATAAGAGTACAAAGATATTTTGGTACGGGGTGCTTAGAACTTTTAGATAAACTAAAAAATAAGTGAATGTAGAATTGAGGAGGTTTATGATCTTTTCTAAACAATCATTATACTCCCCGTTCCGCATAGATCTTCTCATTTGCCCTTTTTATTTATCCCACATAGATCTTCTCATTATCTTTTTTAATCTTTAAAATACAACAACTATCCACACTTACTTTATATATTACACATTTTCCACCTTATTTAATAACCCCACCCATTTTCATTAAGGATATTTTGGTAAACTTTAATTTTTTTCAACTCTCCTTAAAAATCACTAAAAGTCAAAATAAGTAGATCTTAGGGGGACGGATGGAGTAATTAATGAAAGAAGTGAAGAGACAAAGAAGTAACTTATGTTATTCATTGATCCAAAGAAATAGTGATGACAACATCATAGTATCCATCGAACAACACAAAACTCAACTCAATTCAAACCCCCATAAATTAAAAAGCATCAGCCGAATTCAAGTCCTATATATCTCACGAGTTGGGAGAAGGAGGAGGCAACGGGCGGTAAACAAGGACGGGACTCCTAACACAATGGGTGGGACCCTTCCACACGACGGACCCCGCCCTGTACCACGAGTTCGCCCGGAGAAACCGGCCCTTCACCTCCACCCGGTACGGCTTCTTCTCGTTCGTCTTCTGGAACGACAGCGTGTCTGGGACCACGCTGATCAAAACCCCCGGGGGCGACTTCACGGTGGCCTTGAACACAGCCGGACCGGACCCCACGTAGGTCACCGTCCGGTAGAAAACGGCGGAGAAGGTGGAGGAGTTGGCGTAGGTGGTGAGCTGGAGGTGCATTGTGGGGTAGTTAAGGCCGTCTGTCCCCTGCGCTTTGGGGTAGTTTGAGCAGCTGTTGCTCCGGTTGCCCGTCACGGTGTCCATTGCCGTGAAGTTGAACCCTTCTTTGCAGAGGTAACTTATGTAGGCGTTTGTGTCTATGTCATATATTAACCCTGGATTTACTGCTTTGCCCGGCCTTATCACTCCTGACCCGGAAGCTAGGTATGCTCCAACCGGGTTAACCTTCATTGCTCTTGCTACAAACAAAAAAAGCGAACTCGTGACTTATTAATCAATAAGGTTCTGATAACATGTCAAAGGAAATGGTGAAAGAGGGGTACCTGTGGTCATCAAAGCAGATTTAATGGCCGCGGGGGACCAGTCAGGGTGGAAGGTTTTGACGTAGGCGGCTGCGCCTGCGACGTGGGGGCACGACATGGACGTTCCCGATTCTATGTTGTATTCCACCACCCTGTTGTCCTCCTGTTGACCCGTCATCGTCGCATACTTCGTATACGCCGCAAGAATGCTCAACCCCGGCGCCGCCACATCAGGCTACGCAACCAAGTAGTTCAAGAAATGAATTAAATGTGAAAAATGCATAACATTATTATAGTTCTGGCCCAAGAAAGGTTCTTATACTCTAACACACACCGTCACGTGCAGACGTGACAACTTCAAACCTGGCATCTGAAAACTTACTCCATATTTTTTAAACATGGTGGTAGTAAGATTCGAAAACATGACATATACATAAGTAAACATATAACTCTGATACCATGTATGTCAAAACATCAATTCAACCAGAAATTCAAACTAGTGATTGTTGTCCAGAAAATGTTTTTATAGTCTAACATATCAATAATGTACTTAATTTATAATAATCTCACCTTGAGGATGTTGAGGCTGATAGGGTTAGGTCCTCGAGAGGAGAAAGTAGTAACTACCGGTGCGGTAATGTTGCCGACAACCGCTCTTGATTGGGATATCAGAGCGGTTGGGAACCTTAAAAAAAACAAAACATTCATCAATTCTCAATCTTTCGTAATAGTCTCTAAAAACTTCAATAGACAAGGGAAGCTTACTTGGTAGAGTTTATGTAACGGTCGATCTTCAAACCGCTATTGATGTCGACGACAGTGCCGGGGATGATGGTAGGAAGAGGCGTGTCGGGCAGTGTGTCGGCGGAGATGACTCCGGTGCCATTAATGCCCTTGACGTTGTAGTCTTGAGATGAACTCCCAAGGCAATACACTATCTTTCCCTTCACTAAGCTCTCACTTAAGCTCCCATAATCACATGCACTATTTATATAAAAACCAACATTAAATTCCTTGATAGGTTATAATAGTGTTAAATAAAATGAATAATATATAGACAAAATGGATTTTGTACCTGTAATTACCGGGATAACTTGCATTCTTGTCTCGCGCTAGGGTTCCACTAATCAATGGATACATTTTGCCTTCTTTGAATGTGTTGATTGAAACTCCCTAAAACACATCAAACACATAAATATTGTTTGTTAGTTTTTGAGTTAAACTAGAAGAAAATCAATCGTTAACTACATTTAAAAAAATTTGCACTAAATCAGACTAAACCATAAGAATAGACACGTGACTTACGGAAAATGTGTCTCCATTTCCCAACTTAACCTCGGACTCGAATTGCCTGTCAATGTTAGAAGCCGCCACAGTGAAGATCCAGGGGGCCACGTTCTGGACCGTCCCGAACGTGGGCCCCTCGTTCCCACCGGCGGCAGATGTCAGTATCCCTCTCTTCATGGCATGGAATGCCCCGATAGCGATGGGGTCCTCGAAGAACTGCCGCGGAGTGCCGCTAACGGAGATGGAGATGATGTCGACGCCGTCGGCAATGGCGGCGTCGAACCCCGCCAGCACGTCCATGTCCTGGCACCCTTGTCCCCAGCACACTTTGTAGCTAGCCAGGCGCGCGGAGGGCACCCCGCCGCGCGCCGTACCTTTCGCCAGTCCGTACAGGCTGGCTCCTTCCACCACCCCTCCGCCGGCGATGGATGCGATGTGAGTGCCGTGGCCGTCAAAGTCGGCCGGACTCACCTGGTCGTCCGGTGCGCCGCCCTCCAGGTTGAAGTATCTTGCTCCGATCACTTTACTGCATGATGACTAATTTACATTAATAAATAAATAAATAAAAAGCAATAATTCAATTCTTTGGAACAATGCAAGTGGAATTTATTTATAAAGAGGAAGAAATTAAAATTACTTGTTGCATTTTGTGAAGTTAACACCAGTCTCACATTTTCCTTTCCATTTGGCGGGTGGGGCCCCATATCCAGCGTCACTAAAACTCGGTGAGTCAACCCATATTCCTATATATTCAAAATTTCAGGATCGGAGAAAAAAAAGATTTTGAAAAAAATTGATATGGAATTAACTAGGGATTTATTTTACTAATACAGAGTAATTAGTTTAATTAAATAATATACCTGTGTCAAGAAGACCAACAATCAAATTACTTTCAGTCTGTTGGTTTCTTTTGACCGTAGTGGGCATTCCTACGAAGTCCCATGATCTTGTCGTCAGTAGTTTCCTCACTGTGTTTGGGAACACTGATATTACCCTTTCTTTCTCTGGATAATTAAAAGTTAGGAGTTAGAAACTAAAATATTAATTACACAAATTAAACAAATTTTTTGAATTATCATTTTTTAAGAAAAAAGGGATTATATATAATGACACGTACGAGAAAGAGTGCGTGCTTCGTGGGGCAACAAATTAGCCACGAACCCACTAAAGCTGTTCTTGTAGCTATGTATTCTTGATTCTCTTGCCACTTCTTCACTGCATGCATGCAATCCATCCCATTTCAACATTTAATTTGTACAATTATTTCTTAGAATAAAAAATAATAATACTCCCTCCGTTTCTCAAAAAGGTTCCTCTTTTGACTTTGGAGAAAAATAAGGAAGTGTTAAATTGTAGTTGACTTTCCAATTTTGCCCTTGATATGATGGGTAAAACCGTAAAAGTAAGATGTGATAGTTTAGTTGTTAGTGAAAAAGTATGATGTGATAGGTAAGATATGAAAAAGTAGGGGTAAAAATGGTTTTTTAATAGAAAAGGGAAGTGTTTTAAGAAAAACAAAAAAAATGAAAGAGGAAGAGTTTTAAGAAACGGAGGGAGTAATAATTTTCATTTTTCAAAACATCTTTTTTTGTTTTGTATGCTTGTAATTTTATGTCTCATTTACAAATAAAAGAGCAGTTATAATTATAGATATAATATCGGACCCACTTACTCTCCAATGGCATCTGTAAGTAATTTATGGTGTTCATCCACTGCAGAGATTGAATTTAATGGCAATAATTCTCCCAAGTACACAATGAACGCCTGTCAATGTAGATATTCCATAATCCATGCCATTATATATTTACGAAATTAAAAAAAATAATAAAACAATTGCTCCACTTCATTTTTTATAAAGAATATCTGAATTTCAACAGAATACTTTTCATTTTTTAACGCTTTTGTTGAGACAGAGGGAACAATACGGTACCTTTCTTTCGTTGTCGTCGGAGGCATTGCACGCGCTAACGACGAGGAAGAAGATGAAGAGGGACAAAAGGGTCTTCATGAATGCATATATATAGAGATATTGTTAGGGAGAGTTTAATTTGTTGGTTTGTTGAATGTGTTTATATGTGTGTGTGTGTGTGTATGAATATATAATAGGTAGGTTGTGTTGTGTAATTATGAGGAGTTGAAGGAATGAAGAAGTGGGAGTGAGATTTTAAAAAGGGGTATTAAGAATGAGGTTAGTGATGGTGAGTATGTAGAGGCATTCAATGAGGATCTCACAACTGACTAATTAATCACCTTCTTGAATCTTTCTTAATTAATTAATTACAATTAACTCGTTATTAGCTCCACTTTATTCTCTCGTCCTTAGTTTTTTTTTTTTGAAAAACATTAACATAAAAAAATTCACCCACTACTAATTTTACTTTGATGTTGAGTTTTACACTGATTTTTAAAAATAATTTTAGAGTACATTTTGTATTTCTTTTTTTGAAAGAATAGATTTTGTAATTTAATTATAGAAAAATTAATAAATATTGCTCTGGAATAATCAAGCGTACCATATATTGAAAACTGTTAAAGAACCAACTCAACCAAAAGCTCAAGCTTTTGGTTGTGGCCCAGAAACAATTATTTATATTCTAACACGTCCCCTCACGTGCAGACGCAGTCTTTTTCGAGCCTTGCACGTGAAACTTTTAATTTTTTTAAACTGGGTGGCGCTGAGTTTCAAACCCGTGACCTCTTAGTCAACAAGGCTCCGATACCATGTCAAGGAACCAACTCAACCAAAAGCTCAAATTTCAAATTCATATTTGGTCCAAATTACTGTACTTAATTACATGTTTATAATCTGGGCGTAAACCAAATTTTACTTATTCGTAATTTTCAACCTTATTTCATTTGTTAATTCTTTATCTATGGAATCATTGCATTTTTTTCTTCTTCTTCTTCTTCATAAATTGTGCATATTTGCCTAATTAAAATCATGTTTGAAGACTACTTTTTCATTTGTCTCGTGAATTGTCGGACCCTTGCCAAAACCACCCTCGTGCATGGCACCATACTGCACATACTTAATTTAGTTCCACTTTTTTTTCTCCCATGTCATGACCCATTGTTCTTCGTGTGTGACAACTTTGAGGTTACAAAAAAAAGATTCACGAAAAATATTTTTCCTGTGAATATGTAATTAAAATATTTTTTTTGAAAATTTAGTTTCCTAATGTCAACTTTGATATACACCAAAATTTAATTGTCCAATTATTCTATTTGCAAAATTAAATACTCCGTATGATTCTATTAGACCATAATGCTATCAAACCTCGTGTTAATAACCATTGAAAAGTTTCAAAGCACATCGACCGTACCCATTATATTGTTCACACTAATCTTTTTTTTTTAGAAAGTCAAACACTTTCATTCATTTAAAAATATTGTAAAACATCGTCCAGAGGGTCAAACTGCCATTCATACCTGTTAACAGTCAACCTAGTAAGGGTGTGTGCAATCATGTTAAGATGTCGAGGAATATGACAAAACTAATAAAGCTGAAAAAATAGGTAAGATTTTTGCACTCATCTTCCAACGCGCTCAGGTACGATCAAGCTCCTGTCACATCATTCTTCATGGATTTTCGCACTAGTCTTTTTTCATACTTTTTTAATTTCTTTTTGACTTACTTTCAATTCGAATTGACTCAAATTCAATTAAAAAATGCAATTAGTTAAAAACAATAACATCCTTGTAGTTATACAATGTAACATTGGTAAAAAATTCGATCAATTCTGACGGAGAAGATATAAGACGCGATATTTAATTAAAGACCAAATTGGGAGAAAAGGGTACAAATTATGTAGAAATTATCACGAAAGAAATCAACTAAAATTAGTAATTAATTAATTAAGCTAGCATTTGTTGGAGAGTGGGCTTCAAAGAGGAATAAACAGAAGCCCAGCCAGCTTGAGTAGGGTGGGCTCCATCCCAGAAGAAGGCCGCGTTTGGATCGCTGCAAACCGTGTAGAGTTTCGCCCCATTCTCGTCCACGCTTCCGCAGTAGTGTTCCTCGCTTGTTCCCATGCAGCACGGCTTCAATGGCGTCTCAAACACCATACTCCCTGTACGCACGTAAATGCCAAACAAACCCTTAGAATATACTACACCCGTCTCCGGTGGCCGATCTAGAAAAAAACGTGACTGGGGTGGACAAGGTCATAGTAACGAGTAGGGCGGGGTTCAGAGGTAGCGCCCTCAAATTTATTTTAAATGCTATTTATAATAAAGAAAAATGAACAAAATTTGTTTTTGAAAAAATATTCAAATAAGTAAAATAAATATTTTTAAAATTGAAAAATACGCTCTCTGTCCCAAAAAGTTAGTCCCGTTTCGAAAAATTTGCGTCTCTTAAAGTCCGTCACATTTCTATTAAAAAACCTCTTTTACCCCTTACTTTTTCATACCCTACCTATCACATCATACCTTTTTCCTAATAATCTACCCATCACATCCTACTTTTACCCATCACATCAAGGATATTTTTGGAAAGTCAACACAAAATTATCTCTTTTTATTTTACCATTTTAGTCAAAATGTCCCAATCTTTTTGGTACGGAGAGAGTATAATATAAAGTAGAGTTAAAAAAAATATACCTGGAGTGGCATTTTTTTGTTCAATAACGCTAGTAAAGGTCGAGTACAGGTCGAGGAGAACAAAAGTTGAGCTGCTGGTTTGGTTGTTAAGACGCTCCACTGCTTCCCGCAAGAGCTGATTGTGGATGTTGACTGCGACGTTTTGCGAGGCGTTGCACTCACGAAATGAGGAGTGAACGGTGACTCTCGGGAGGCATCCTAATGGCTCCAGAGACGTCACCCCCACCTTCCTCGCCCCGTGATCATAGAGGAACTTCAAGTTCATGGTAAGTTGGTTCACCACACTACTAATGAATGCTGGTAACCCCTATACATACATTTATATGTTCATTATACAAATTCAACATGCCATTCCATCAAATATAAGTTTATAACTCACTAGAATGGTTGAGCTATAAAGAATAAAGTGAATAACTATCAAAATGATGAATAATCAAAGCATTGTTTGCAAAAGCAAAAATGGTATTACCTCCATCCGAAAATGCTTTTTAAATTTTTCTTTTCCCCATTCAACCATTTTAGACATTTGACCTACAATTTAAAAAAATATACTCCGTATATGTGATATATTAATTAGATAAAATAATTTTTAAAAAATCATTTTGTAAAATAAAACTAATAAAACTATTTTGTATCAATATATAATATTGCTTTTATTTAATTTGTAGTCAAAGTTTGCATTTATCTAGTTCGATTTTTTTAGTCAAATTTGACAAATTTTGAACATTAATTACATAAAACTTGTACCGAGTATTATATACTTGTACAAAAAATAATTTCACTAATTATCTTGTATGAAATTTCATAAATTTATTTTAATGTGTTACTCTGTAGTATTTAACACATATTGAGTACAATTGATTATTAAAACTACTCAAAAAAAGTTAAACTAGAAGAATATTTTTTGACAAAAAGAGTAATTAATTCAAAATCAATTTTTTTTCTTTCAATTCTAGTGGAAAAAAAATACCTGAGGAGTGCCGCCCTTGGCGAGAAAAGCGGAATAGTCATTGCCGGCGAGGGTGACAAAGAAGACGCCGGAGGACTGGACCTGGCTCTGGTTAAACACTGAATCGTGAACGAGTCTCCGGAATGATCGGATCTGGGAGGTCATGTTTGGCCCTGCAACTAAAGTGTCAAACACCCCGCTGCCTCCGTAGGCAAAGTTCACCCCGTCTTCCAAACGTGCCCTAATACTCCCCTTCTTCTTGATCCATCTGTATGCTATTGGTGACTTCACTCCCACGTGTTTTGCTGCATGCATCACCTCATCACTTCATATTTTTTCAGATTTAATCTTTCTATTTTATTTTTTCTTGGTCAAAATTTGTAAGCTCTGACCGACCTCGCTATGCGGAAAATATATGTTGTGTTTCCATATAAATGTGACATCAATGATTTTCTTTTGAAATGTAATTTTAAAATATGTTGATGTATAAATATTGATATTTATGGTCAAAGTGTTACATTGGAGGTCGTGAAAAATAACATGCTCCCTTTTCCACGAATAAACTTCTCGTTGCGCGTTACGATGATTGACTGAAATTATTTTGAAATCATTTTATATGAAAAATGATGTAAAATTTAGAAATAAAAATTGCATATTAAAAAAACTATATCAAAAGATCTATAAAATTAGAGGTGACAGACTATATTATTTTATCAAATGAGTGACGAAAATAAGCCAACAAAATGAATAAAGTTTGATCATATGAATAGTGAACGAGAAATTTATGTATGGACGGAAGGAGCATATAAATAAATATATATATATATATATATATATATATATATATATATATATATATATATATATACATACATACATACATACACACACACTCCACCATCAAGTGGATTGTCACAAATTAATTTCACGGAATAATTTGAACCACGTATTCCTTTTCAAAAAAATAAATATTTTATTTTAATTAATTGGCCCTTGAAAAAAAGAGATATACTCGTATTATATTGATATCTTTTGGAGTATACATTATTGGCGTGGTGTAATTTTCTTTGGACAACTTTTTACAGCTAAGAGAATAAATAAAAGTGCATACATTATCGGAGTGGGAGAAAGAAAAAGTGAAAAAGGGAGATAACTATTTTCTTTTTACTCCGTCGTAGATCCAAATATTTTAGAGTTTTGAACTAGAGAAGTAGGGAAATTAAAAGTAAAAAAGATCGAAAACCTTTGAAACCAAATAATGACCACACCATGTAGCGGAAACGTGGTGCAGATCGGAATATAGTCCCATATATTATGTCATATTTTGGCATGCCTTAAAAGCATTCACAACCGTTACTCAGCTTTATCAGTCTTTTAAGTCATTCAATTCTCTTTATTTTTAATAGATTTAAGAAAAATACGGAGTATTTTTTATGATGACTTTTCAAAAATATATTTGACGTGATGACTGGATAAAAGTAGGATATAATAAGTATAATGTTAGTGAATAGACATAAAATTTCTTTAGCGAAGTGAATAGATATGATAAAATAAGTAAATTAAGAATTAATAGAACAAAGGTAATTTTTAATAGAAAGTGAAAAATGTTGAATAAGCAAGAAAAGAGAAGGAATAAACGTTTTAAGGCACACGGGGAGTATAAGTTCGTATTTCGTATTGCGGAGTATTATCGTAAATATCGATTATTGTTTTGTTGAAATTTATAATTTTACATTGTAAATCACAAAATCTTATACTCCCTCTATCACCATTTATAAATTTATAATGTTTTAAAGCATGTACAATTTAATTAATGTACTCTTAAATCTGACACATTCAAAAAACTGATATATGCAATATTTTTAAGAGTTCAGATACAATTAGTTTAACTTTCAAAGTTTAGAAGGAATTCATACAATCTTTAAAGAGTTTAAGAGTTAACGACACAAAAAACTCTTTAATAGTACGAGCACTCAATATTAAATAACTACGTTACTCCCTCTATTTCTTTTTAAGTGTCCGGTACGTTTTTTTAGTTTAATACCTTTTAAAATATTTTAACAAAAAATTATAAAAAATTAATATTCTCTGTCCTAAAACTATCTTCCCAGTTACTACGGAGTATTTACACCGTTAAACTTAAATCACTTTCTTTACATATTTTCCTTAATTATTTGATAAAATAATATAATCTTGTCACCTCTTGTTTTGTAGAACTTTTGATGTAGTTTTTTAAATATTACATTTTATTTTTTAAATTTTACACCTACAATCATATAAATTGAATTGAAAAAATAAGGTCGGTCAAACCTCGTTAACACACATGGGAAGATGGTTTTAGGACGGAGGGAGTATATTAAAGTATATTTCAATACCAATAACTTGGTATAGTTTTATATTTCAATTTATTGTATTTTTATACTCCCTCCGTCCCCCTAAGATGTTCTCATTTTGACTTTTGGTGGTTTTTAAGGAGAGTTGAAAAAAAGTGAAAGTTACCATAATACCCTTAATGAAAATGGGTGGAGCATATTAAATGAGGTGGGTGAGGTGTAATAAATAAAGTAAGTGGGGGTAGTTGTGGTATTTTAATTGTTAAAAAATGAAATGAGAAAATCTATTGTGGACTAAGAAAAAGGGTTATTGGAAAGATCTATGGGGGACGGAGGGAGTATATAATTATTCAAACATTTGACATGAAAAACAAAGTAAAAAATGATTGGAGGGAGTAATTTATTTAACGCCTAGTAATTGGTAAGATAATTGGCATGTCATTAAAAAAAAATACAGCGTATAATACGGAGTTTAAATTCGTTAAAATTTTACGCGTAAAATTATAAGTTAAAGACAAACATAATTGACGGTAGATTATTAACTTTTTTATACGCCGTAGTACTCTCTCCTGTCGCTTGTGTTCAACTTGAATGACTATCAAACTCAAAAAGTATAAACTCAATTTAAATGATTAAAAAATTATTGAAAAATAAAAACACCTTAATAAAATTTACTGGGAGAAGAGCTAAATAGTACTTCGATTAGCCACTCTTTTATTTTTTAAAATACTCCGTAAAAAAATTGGATGTATTCAGAGACAAGAAATATTACTCCATTAAAAAAATATGGTAATTCATATTATTAAAACCATATTTTATAATTAATCTATTAATATTAATTTTCTATCCTAATACATTTTTTCACTCTGTTGAAAATATTCACCAAGAAGAAAAATAATTAAATGGGAAAAAATTTTGGGATGAGAGAGAATGTAACTGCAATTTCATGTAGAGGAGAAAATGTAAAGAGTGGAATAATAATATCAAAAAATGGAAATATAAGCGTAAAGAAAATACAGAAAATACCCAGAAAATCGGTGAGGACACGGCCGTCGGAGAAGCGGCCCGAGGGCTTGCCGGGAAAGGTGGAGCCGTACGGCGGCTTCCAAGAAGAGGCGTTGGCTTTCCTCTTGTTCCCCGTGTCTGCATATGAATCCCCGAACACAAACAACAGTTTCTGGCCGCTCCCGCCATTGTTTTCCAGATCCGTTGAATGGTTTTTTACCGCGGCGGTGAGGAGGAAGAAGAAGATGAAAAGGAGGAGGGAGGCGAGGTAAAAATGGGATTTACTGTGCAACTTCATCATCATCCTGTCGTGAATGAAATAATATTATTGTGCATCTCACTATTATTCTCGCCGTCGGATATATTTAAACTTTTTTGAGTCAAATTAGATAAATTTTAATCATCAAAAACTCTTAGTTTGTACATGTAAGCATATTACTCCGCAATACAAATAAATTGAATTTGAAAAATTATCAACAAAATAAATCCAATTAAATCATTTTATGCTAATATATACTTCCTCTGTCCCATTAAGATTTCCCGTTTTGACTTTTATGAAATTTAAAGAAGAGATATATTTGTGTTGATATTCAAAAAATACCCTTGATAAGTTGATGTGATGGATATAAGTAAAATGCGAGAGGTAGATTATTAGTAAAAAATATAATGTGATAAGTAAGTTAAGAATTAGCATGAGCAAAAGTAATTTTTTAATAAAACAGTGAAGTATTTTGTGGGACAAGAAAAAAAAGAAAAAATGGAGTTTTTAGGACGGAGGAGCATTAATTTTTTTAAATTGAAATATAAAATCTATCTTATAATTTATTCATTTTCCTACTTAGTTTTATTTCTTTCCATATGTTGCCCATCCAAAGAAAGTAGTCAATATGTCTCGTAAAAAAAGTTTAATGCTCCTTTTGACCCAAAAATACCTTTGGAATTTAAGATATGTGAATACTCCTCTGTGGATCCGTCTTACTTCTTCTGTTCCTAATTTGATTCTAAATTAGAGTTTATGAAGAAAAATATTTCACTTTTTGAAATTATTTTATTTACACACATTTGGTTTGAACTTTCGCATTATGCTCTTATACTTCTTCCATTACCCAATGGATGTCCTTTTTTGCAAAAATGAAGAATTAGTCTTTGTTTTTTAAATTTATTTTATTTTAAAAAATTTTATAGAAATAAACAATAATATTTTACATACTTAAAAAATACATCAAACTTTTACAAAACAAGATGCGATAATATTATTTTATTTTATCAAATAAGTAATACTCCCTCCGTCCCTACACAAACTTCCGTTTTTGACTTTTTGAGAATTTAAGGGAGGGATATTTTGGTGTTGACTTTCCAAAAATACCCTTGATGTGATGTGTAAAAGTAAGATGTGATATGTAGATTATTAGTAAAAAGGTATGATGTGATAGGTAGGGTATGAAAAAGTAAGGGGTAAAAGTGGCTTTTTAAGGGAAAAGAGAAGTTTATTTGGGGACAAAGAAAAAACGAAAGAGGAAGTTTATTTAGAGACGGAAGGAGTAAAAAGCACATATAAACAAAATTAGCGTGAATTTTAAACATTAAACATGGGCATCCAAATCTGATATTCGAAGTAGTTTCTCAAATTGATTGTTTCAAACTTTCTTACACTCATATTGTTTGCATACTTAAACGTTAAGGCCATGTTTGGTATACGGAATTCAAACGATGGAATTGGAATTGAGAACATCAATTCCAATTCTGGTGTTTGGTAGCATAAAAATTATGTAGATTTTGGAATTGATAGTACAAAAAATGAATTGGAATTGGTAAATTCAATTCTGTGGAATTGAATCTCATGGATTTTTAATTCCAATTCAATTCCAATTTCATCAATTCTGTATATCAAACGGACCCTAATTGAAATATTTCCCTTGATTTAAAAAATATAGTACGGAGTAGTTTTTAAATTTTTAATTATACCGTTTGCATTTTTGTGCCGCTCGAATGATGTGGAGTAAATTGCAAAGCCCAAACAATCCAAGCCCACATTTTATTGACAAGAAAAGCCCATATACGTTTAGGCCAAGGCAGTCATTATGTAAATTTGAGCTCGCTTCAACAATAATTACTCCGTAATAAAGCCCACGACATAATATTTTCATTTTTCAATAGTTTTAAAATTATTGAAATGAACTTATAAAATTAATTTTAGGAGTAATAATATTAATATTTAATATTAAATGATATAAAACTAATACTTGAATGCAAGCATTTTATTTACATTTTTTATAGCTTTGATAATTATTTAGACAATCCTAATATGACTATCTTTCTTTTTCATTTCCATCTTCATTATTTTTCAGTGATATAGAAATACATACACAATATAGAATGACTTTTATGTGCACGCAAAAAGAAATTTAAACCAATTGGAAACTTCACAAACACCAAATTAGAGCCCAACATGGACCAGACTACCGTCTAGATATTTCCATCCGTCCAACAATAATATTCCTTTGCGCGTTATGAAATTTGACTAAAGTTATTTTGAATTCATTTTATATGAAAAATCATATGGAATTTAAAAAATAAAAATTATATATTTAAACACTACATGAAAAGATATACAAAACTAAACGTGACATGACTATTATTTAATCAAATGGACAACGAAAATACACCAACAAAGTGAATAAAATTTGACTCTGTGAATAGTAAACGGAAACATTATTGTTGGACTGAGGGAGTAAATATACTCGGAAGTAATTAGTAGCTAGGTTAATAATTAGTATAAGTATATTTTAACTAAAAGTGGAAGTACACGCTTTATGAGAAGAGTGAGCATTGAAAGTGAGATTATTTAGAAGAAAAACGCAATAAATAAGAGTAAAATATAGAGAAAATACCAAATAAGAAAGTTCTATTTCTTATCCCCAGAATAAAAATTTATACTAGGGTAATGTGGGATTGTATATAGACATTTCACAACGCTTTTTGGCAATTTATATGGCCATGATTATCAGTGTATATGCATTTTAATTCATATTTCGAAAATAAAAATATGAAAGATCCATTTTGATATATTTTTAATATTTACTCATACTTTAAAAACGAGTTGTGTGTTATGAAACGAAAACTATTTTGTGAAATGAGTAATAAAATTAATTAAACAAAAAAAAAGTATTCAATTGTGTCAATAATACAAGGATAGAGTATTATTTCATTTATTTATTGGACATTATCATTCTCACTCTCATTCTTATTGGTATGTATTATTTCATTTATTTATTGGAATTTTGACTAGGTTATTCTACTCGGATCTATTATATGCTAATCATTTTGTCATAGAAAACTTAGATTACAGATTTTGTCAAAACAAGTCGAAGAAGTATGTCCTCATCATGTTCTCTTAAGTACCGTTGTAATCTACATTTAGTGATTTGTAATCTACATTTAGTGATTTGTAGGAGAAATGTATCTGAATTTCGTAAACATATTTGGTGTCATTTTTACTTTCATGCTTTTTGTTCTTATAATATTCTATCAAAATGTATTGTAACACCCTCTGAGTCATCTGCTTCTCTGTGTGTGTGATTTTTCAAAGTCAAAATTTGATTTAGATCAACACACATCTCTAATTAGATTAGGATATTTGCAAGGTGTATTATTTCTTTGTATCCCTATCCCCCCTGTCACTCTGCATCAACACCCTTCAACCTAAAACATTTGTTAAATAGTTTGAAAACATCTTTTTAAATATAATATTAAGTTCCAAATATTATTATCAATCTAACATCATTTTTTGGGCAAAAATTTCTTCTTTTCAAATAATAAAAAAATGTGATATTGAAAATATTTTTTTTCAGGAAAGCATTTTTCCCTATAAAATACGAGTAATTGTTCGGATATCTTTCCTAAATGTACTCCGTAATAAACAATGTTGATAGCACACCAAAAACTGTTATTAGTGCAAAGTAAAGAAAAATCTCCTAAGTATGAAATGAGCCTTGGTGTAATTGTAAATGTGTATGAAACACTTTAATTCATAATATGCATTTTTGTAAATATATACGAAGTACAAAGTAATTAAATTTTCGCTTTGACTTGAGTCGTACAAGGATCACCTTAAAGATCCTAGATGCAAAGTTCACATAGTTTGGAACCCCAAATATATATGTATCCTGAATTTTATTAAGGAGTATAATTAAATACACTCTCTCCGTTCTCAAAAATACTTCCTCTTTCATTTTTTCACTTCCAACAAAACACTTCCACTTTCTATTAAAAAACCACTTTTACCCTTATTTTTTCATACCCTACCTATCACATCATACTTTTTCTCTAATAATCTATCCATCACATTTTACTTTTACCTATCACATCAAGGGCAAAATTGAAAGTCAACTATAATTTAACACTTCTTTATTTTTACACAAAGTCAAAAGATGAATACTTTTTCCAAACGGAGGGAGTAGTTTTTTTACAAATTGCAATAAAAAAGTGTCATTATTTGACAACGAAAATAAAAACAGAAAAGTTTTTCTTACGGCTATGTAGTACTCTCCTCGTCCTAGTATACTGGTTCAATTTAATTTTTTCGAGTCAAACTAGATAAACTTTGAGCTCCAATTTAAATTTTTCCAGTCATTTCATTGCGGACCGACCAGTGATTGCACTACAAGAAAACTGCTGATCTGCCACGGACAATTTCCGTTGCAGAATTTGAAATTCCGTGGCAGATTTAACTTCTGCGACGGAGCTGCAACAAAAATGTTCCGTCGCAGAAAAGTTGTGGCAGATTTAAAATCTTCGACGGAATTAAAAATCCGTGGCAGATCTGCGACGGACCTGCAACGGGTTCGTCTTTTTTTGCAACCCCAAGAATCTGCGACGGAATTGAAAATCCGTGGCAGATTTGCGACAGACATATCGACGGAAATAGCCGTTGCAGATCTGCAACAAAAACAACGACAAATTTTGCCCTCGCAGATCACCTGATCACACACACAGATTTTTATTGTTTTTAGGCAGTAGCTATTAAAATGGCGGGCAAAACACATTCAAAATTTCTCACACATAATTCTAAGTAAGATTACAATACGAAATAGATAATTCAAAACTAGATTGATACAAACTTCACGTGCAAGTGTAACATAATTCATAATATTGTAAAAACACTAAATATTAAAGTGTTAATGTCAAATGTCAAAGGTGTCAACGAATCCCGAGCTGCCCAGCCCCTCCCATTCCATCATCATCGCCTCGTAGAGGAAGGTTACCACCATATAACTTCCTTATCTCCTTCTGAATCGTCAGTTACAAGCTCATTTTGTCTAGCCTTTAAGCCCATTCTGTCAAGCCTCCTCATGCAGTTTGAAGAATTGGGCCTGCAATATATGAAAGTTAATAACAACGTAACAATAATAGCGTCAAGAACAGCAAGAACAACAACATGAACAGCAACTGAACAACATCAACAACAACACAAGAGCAGTGTCATATTGCAACAACAACACCATCAACGCAATAACAAAAGCCGTGTCATATGACAACAACAACACCATCAACGCAACAACAAAAATAGTGTCATACGACAACAACACCATCAATGTAACAACAATAATAACAAGACGATTAATAATAACATCAACAACAAGAATAACGTCAACAAAAACAATTCAATTACACAAGAAAGCAAGTACATTATCACCCTTTAGAAGTTTTAAGACAAAAACACCAACATTATGAGCATGAACCTAAATTGTTTTGCAAGTTACAGAAAGTACCTGTAGCTCAGCATGTCTCGGATACAAATCAACGCTTAGCGCTCTCATCCGCCATCATCATCGCAATACAAATCAATCAAACATGCAGTGGAATCTACAAAGCCTAGCTCCAAATCCTACTAACACAACTTCCTCAACTTCCCAGCAGTTATTCACCGCCGCGGACCATTTACACAAAAAACATAAAATCGAAAGCTTTACTCTGCTACAGGAAAAAGCTGTGGAGGAGTTACCAATTTCAAGTATCTTCTCTAATAAAACCACAAACAACAATCATTTAACTACATATATCACAAAATTCAACTAAATTTTACTTAAATTCTCAATAAACGTCAAATTAACTAACACAATTTCAACAAAAATTACAGCTTAAGTGCTATCAATTTCACAAAAAAAACTAATGCAATCTAGTTTTGAATTATCTATTTCGTAACAACAAAAGCCGTGTCATATGACAACAACACCACCATCAATGCAACAACAAAAATAGTGTCATATGACAACAACACCATCAACGCAATAACAAAAATAGTGTCATACGACAACAACACCATCAACGTAACAACAATAATAACAAGACGATTAATAATAACATCAACAACAAGAATAACGTCAACAAAAACAATTCAATTACACAAGAAAGCAAGTACATTATCACCCTTTAGAAGTTTTAAGACAAAAACACCAACATTATGAGCATGAACCTAAATTGTTTTGCAAATTACAGAAAGTACCTGTAGCTCAGAATGTCCCGGATACAAATCAACGCTTAGCGCTCTCATCCGCCATCATCATCGCAATACAAATCAATCAAACATGCAGTGGAATCTACAAAGCCTAGCTCCAAATCCTACTAACACAACTTCCTCAACTTCCCAGCAGTTATTCACCGCCGCGAACCATTT